TATTACAATAAATTCGATTTATGAATGATTTTATATTGTGTAATCAGCACAACATTATTCAGCACAAATAAGTGTTTGTATTGTAATATGTGTTGCTGCTTGCTAGATTTAGAACTGTATTGATACTGTGTTTGATGTTAAGAAACCATGCTTTGCACCATACTTGAACTAGAATCAATGACCCAAAAGAAAGATTGACATATCCATATATTATATTCAGCTACTTAATTGCCACAGCATAAGATGTAAAAAGCACATTGCACATACTAAATGCGATTGATAAAAAACTATTTTTCTAATGTGTGTGCAATGTGTGAGCATATGTACAATATGTACATAACTATATCTATATATTTGAATGCACAGATACTATTTCATCTAAAAAAATATTTAAGTGCACTTGAATACGATTATTTTGTTTGTAAGTAATTATGTGTTTATTTTTTTATAGACATGATTTGCTTATTTTCCCAGAGTAGCACTTGTTGTAACATAATGTTATTTGAATTTTGAAATTTTAGCAGGCATGAAAGGACAACGGATCTCTGAGGTTCTTTGGAAACTGTCAATGAATAAAATACAAGCAGAATAAAGTGAAATAAAATATGTGTAGTTGGCAGTAAATGGAAGCCCACCACAGGTGAGAAATGAGAAATTTCGAGGTCAGTTGAACACTGCAAAAAGCGAAAAAGAGCCATTTAATGTAAATGTTTTCAAAGATAAATCAATCATCTCATCTCAGATAAACATTAGCTCTGGGGTGTCCTGGAATCAAGAACAAATAATACAGCAACAAGGCGTGTGACTCACAGGAGCAGGAACAATTGATGTGCTACGTTTAGTGGAAGAGTTAGTAGCCCACTTTATGCTATCCCCTTATCCAACAAATCTTACTCTTAGACATTTTCTCCCTAATACAGTCAACAGCAGAAGCTTCTAATGAGTGATTCTATATAATGCAACAATGCACCGTTAACAGTATATAGGAAGACAAAGTATATGGTCAGTTTTATTTTAATTAAATCCTCTTATACTTATTATTTTAACTTGAAGTTAATATCTAGTTAGTTACGAGACAACAGATTATGCAACAACCATGTAATTTAATTTAAAGGGGCACTATCACCTCCCCTCCACAATGAGCAGTAAGATAGAATATAGAAGATAGAATATATAAAGATCATCTCTTTGAAATACTCATATTGACTTGGAATTCCACTGAAATTCCAACCTAGTCAAAAGATACACTGAGACTGATGACTTTTTCTCAGTATTTTTCCTCTGCCTGACAAAGCTTGACACTAGGCAGACCTACCGCCGTCAAGTCTTGTCTTTTCCTCCGGCCATCCCCAGTGAAAGCTATAGGGAAATTAGCTCTTTCTATGGAGGGTCTCATGGGATTCTTCATAGACCTTAATGCTGAACTCCTGCGTATGTGCAAGAGTGAAGTGGTGACGTCGGCTGCTAACAGAAGCTGAAGAAGAGTTGCAGGAAGAGGATGGCAGCATCACAAGGGACAGGTTCAGGTAAGCAGGTCTCACTTTAGCCTGCCCAATCTGACCACAGAGTGATGTCACCATCGGGGGTCTTTTCAAATTATGCAAAGACCCCATAAAGTGACAGATCCACTTTAATCCCATATATGTGATTAGTTTAGTGTAGACCTTTCACAGGCTTTATGAAAAAAAATAGTTTCATTTTCAATCAGATGTTGAATGACTTTAGAATTTTTTAAATCCTGTTCTTTAAATTAACCTTAATCACATACAGGAGGCTCCTGCAATGTCGATCAAACTATTAACAGAGCAGGAGGTAAGAAATTCTAAAACAGACTTTGCAATAAGAGAAGTATAAATAATAGATCTTACTTTACAGGAAGTGTTTAGAAACACTGTGTAAGTTACATGCAGGGAGGTGTGACTAGGGTTTTATAAACAAAGTGATTTAACTCCAAAATGGCAGAGAATTAAGCAGTGTGACTGCAAGGGCATGATCTATATATCAAAACTATTTTATTAAGCTAAAGTTGTTTTGGTCCCTATAGTGTCACTTTAAATTTCATTATCACTAAAATCAAGGACAATCATTCTTACTTGTAAACTTGGTAAACTGGCCCTTGAAATCAGGGTTAGCACATGTGGTTGATAACTATTCAGGAATTCAGGAAATAGATTCTCAGACTACAAGTGGTAGTTTGTAGCTGAGCTCCTCATACTTCATTTAATGATTACTTTCAACCAATGGGACACCAGTTTCCCTCACCTTGCTCTCAGTTAAGAATGGAATCTATTGATAACCCAGTCAGGATGAGATAAAGGAACTACAGTTGGGGCAAGGAGGTGGTTATGAACATCAAGGAATTCTAGGGAGCAAACAGGATCGTAAGTGTGCATCCATAAAGCACAGTACTGTGGAATTTAAGCAGACTTTTTTATTTTTATTTAAGTGTAGAATAGGAAAATATGATATGATCAATTATTATATCCCACTTAACCCTAATGCCTTATGCAGGTCAGCGGAGGTTGTACGCTCTGCATTAGGTATTATCACAACAGCAATGTTGTGATAAGATCTAGCTAAATTCACCTGTTAAACACAATGTGCAGGTGACACTACCTTGCTTACATGAGCACTTATGCTATGTGACTTTCCTGTTTAACTAGAAACCCTGTCAAAGAAAAGGCAATACTTCTGAATTAAACTCTTGTTATACCTTCTTTACTGCCATACACCTTCATATTTCATGGTGCCTTAAGCCAAAATTCTTCAGTAGGGACAAAGCTGGAAAGACACTGCAAATTATTAAAGGAGTTATAAATATGTATGTTTATACACGTGTAATAATGTGTTCAGCTTGGAGGAGAAAGAAGAATATAATATGTAATAACAAATGTAGAATGATTTGTATTTTAACTTCGTATTTGCCAAAGGGTTGTAACATTTTGCACAGTGTTTTTTTTCTGGCTGTCAAGAGGCAAGTGATGAAACAGCATCACATCAAAACATCACAGTTTTAAAAATATGTATAATGCACACTGTCAAAAAAGAATGCCAATAGCCAGGGAAATGATGATGTCCTTTAAATAGGGTAAATGCATAGGTACATGCCAGGTGTGCCCACCCTAATGTAGGGAAAATGTGTCCTCTCTGTTCTCCACATTCATTTCTACTTTTACTTTGGAATTATTTTTTGTGGAGGAGATGTACATGAAAAATGTTCAGTTTACTTGATGATAAAGAATTTTATAATATCTAATAATGACTGATTGATTCATTAACAAAAAAAAATCTATTGGGTGCACACCCTAAGAAAATGTACTGTGCATGCTGATGGGTAAAAGGATATATTTGTGTTTGGCGTGGGCTACTGAGCCTCCCTCACAATTTAGTTATATCATTAATTTGTTAATACAAGAATAATCTAGTTTGCTTCTTTTTAAAGAAATAGCAGACTTTAGTTTATCACTGAAACACTTGGAACAAACTAACATTACATTTATTACAACTATAGTTATACACCTATCACCAAATATGCCAAACTATAATACTGATTTAGGAGTAGATCAGCTGTTTATGTTTCTTCTGATTTACCAAGAAGCATAAAGAGCTGAGCTACTCCTAAAACCAGTTATACACAGGAGTCTGTTTTGAGTTTCATGTTAACCCCTTAACGCCGTTACGCCGTCCTACGTCGTCCTACGCCATCCCGCATTAAATGGGCTTTAAAGCTGTTGCGGCGGCATAGAACGCCGTAATGGCTTTTAGCCCCAGGAGGTGA